CATAGCTTTTTGATCCGAGGTCTCTCCCTCGTCGTCGTTCTCCTCATCGAAAACTAGTTCTTCCTCATCTAGCTCCACCAATAGCCATTTTGTCACACTTGTTGACGATGTCTTCCATCCCTGTCATTTCACTCAGCTTCACGTCCGAAATGTTAAATGTTGTTTTTTGCTTTGGATTTGACTTACTCCAATCCTCAGAGAACCGTAGTCTGACTGCGCTGCTTTACTTTGCCAATGAGATGCGCAAGAAGAAACACACAAAGCGGAAACTCCTAACCCTACGCGAGGGAAGCAGAAAGTATATTAGTTGAATAAAGATAAGTCACATGTTTACAAAAATAAAAACTAGTCATATTTTTGTCTCTCATTATTTGTATTCAGTATTCAAGTTTGAGAGGGCTTTGGAATGGTTGAAAAAATAAGGCGTCCTAATGTTGCAACTTGCACATTAGTAAATTACGTAATGCATATTCTAAAGTGGTAACTTGTTATGTTTTTACTGTTTTCCATGTAGCATTTACATTGTATTATTTGATACTATCTTTGTAAACTCTCAACATATGAACATATGACATACCAAGCTGCAATAGTTTATCTATTTAGGTTTTCATTTTTACGTTTTTACCAATATATGAAAATCCGACATATATCCAATTGAGATTTAAAGCTTAAACATACGAAATATTTTCAAGTGATACAGAGTCATACACATATGGTCACGTTGCAACTTGCAATGTACATACACATTGTTTGTAACAAATTTTTGATTGATGGAATCATTTCGAATCAACTAGATCAGACTTACACGGTCGATCCTATCAATAGAATAATATACTATCTGTTTTAAATTGATTTGCAAAATTGACTTATCTTGGTCAAACAGTTCCATTTTATTCACTTAATTAAGATGTCAATTTTTAAGTATATTATAATTTGGATTTTGCGATTTTGAAGATATTTTAATGTAGTTTTTGAACATGTAAATTTTATTTATTAAATATTGAATTAATTATCTGATGGTCCCAAGTGAGGTAAAAGTCTGGGGGGGGGGGGGGGGGTGAATAGACTCTTAAACCTTTTCATTTTTCATCCTTTTTTGCTCTAACAGAATGAGTTTCAATATCTTTTGAGAGATATTGAAACCTACATCGGAAGTCTTGACCTCAATAGTGCGACACTTTATAGTAACAAAAGTTATGACCCTTTTAGTTGTGGGAGAGATGGTATAAACAAGCTACAAACATGTTTGCCAGAATCAGCTGACTCATGGAGTAGGCCACTGAAACCTTAAGGAGCAGACTGCCAGATTACTGGGAGTTGGCTGCCGAACCCTTTAGGAGCAGGTTGCCGAATGAGACTACTGCTTCAATGATTAAGATACAACAAGAAATTATAATCTAACACATTGATAGGCTTTAAGAATGGGCTTAACACATTGATAGATCACTTTGATGCAGTTTGATTCACAGAAAACTGGACAGTTTTCTGGGCAGTGAAATGAGCAAGCTGTTTTTCTGGAAAGTTGTGAAGGTGAGTGAGAACTGTAGTGTGTATTGAGAGCTGAATATAAAAGGTGATACAAGATATATCCTGGTTAAGAGGTGGTGTAATCCTCCTACATCCAGTCCCAACCTATTTCAGGTGGATTTCCACTAAATGAATATCCCTTTATTACATTTTGTGCCCAATCTATCCATGGCCCAGGCATAGATTGTGAGGTTTTTCCCAAGGAATTTGAACATCATTCCAAGCTACTCAGTCCTCCAAGGTTTTTCACTAATGGCATTGACTTGCCAGAAGCTACTCATGTCTTTGTCCTTCTCACCTTTTGGATTTGAACACAGAGCCCTTCAGAATGTTTAACACTAGTCTAGTTTACATGGGTGAAAACTAAACTACAAATTAAACGAATCTAAGCTCTATAGATTTGTATGAATTTGAGCTAGTCAAAGAGCTGTAGATGAGTGGGGCGGAAACCAAAATCGTGAAGGTGAATCAGCACTTGTTTGCTGGATGTGTTCGAGTGATTCTGGACTCCCTTCTTTTCCATGGTTCACCACATGTTCTACCCTCACTCCTTTTGTATTTATACACTTTGTTGTTGAAGCTCGACCGTTGGCTGAGGAATTCAATCTTGACCGTTGCTTTGATCTAGTTGCCTTGTTCCACTTGATTGAAGGTTTGTCTTTGCCTTCATGTGACACGGACTAAAATCTTCACTACAACTAGTTTCCCCATTTCAATGTAAAAATAAAGACACGGACTAAAATCTTTTTGTTCGAAGAATTGAGTATAAAAGCGGAGTGTTTATTCAATGCTTTCTTACAATAAAATTACTTACTTTTAGTAAAATAAATTTATAAGAAATTTTCATAAGGTGGTAAAAATTTCTTATAAAAATACTTTCTATCTTTTTGTCATTTTGACTGCAAGTTGGTCTTTTGTTTAATTGTTTTTGTGCTAAGAGAAGAGTAGTAGATTTTCGGTGGCCTTGCCTGGGAAATGTTTTAAGTAGGCTATTGCTTTGATTTTTCCACATGGCTGCCGAATTTACAAAGGGTTCCAGTTGACTTCTTTCGTACATTTTCTTTTTGATTCTTTTCCTTTTTGTTCTTGGTACGCTTCTTCTCTTTTGAGTACTCTTTTTATTTTTCTTGAGTGCCTTTTTTTTTTAATAAAGTAGCATACTACAATAAACAAATTAGAACATAAACAAAGATCTAGTCTAATACAGGGATAAATAAAAGGCTTAAATACGTTTTTTGTCCCTGCAAATATGACACATACACTTTGTTTTAGGTCGCTGCAAAATATTTTTCTTGTTTTTCATCCCTGCAATATGCACTATTTTGTTTTTAGTCCATCTCCAGTTCCGAAACTACTCTACTTACAACAAAATTATTGTCAATTATATAAATCTAGTAGAAGTATTTGAATTTATCCTTTTATAATTTTTTGAGGCTAGTATGAGAGTTAAAATAATTTAAAACTAAGTATTCATATTTTCAAAATATAGATTAAAAATCTTCAAAAAAATACAATAAAATACTATTTAAATAATATGACAAAGAATTAAGGAAATCTATTAATCGGGGTTATTTTAAGGTCAAACGGAGATTGTTATCATCAATGATGGACTAAAAAGAAAACCAACATAATTGCAGGGACGAAAATAAAAAAAAAATTGCAGGGATGTAAAACAAAATGTTCAATATTTGCAGGGATTAAACACATATTTAAACCTAAATAAAAACTACATAAGAAGGGGTTTGACATCATCAAAACTACATTTCATCAAAATCTAGGGGACCTAACATTATCAATAAGGAGAATTTAACTTTAACATTAGTTGACAAAAAATATTGACTTTGCAAATCCATTTGGGACGAGAGGAGTATAGCCTTTGTAATACACCAACAACATCCAAGTCTTATTCCAAATTTTTTTTGATGTCGACTAACATGAATCATTTTATGATATCAAGAAAGATAATAAAAAGAGACACTCATTCTTGTGTCTTTTAGATTGTGGGTTTAAGTGATATTTAAGTGACATACAATATACAAATCAAATTTCAAATGATGTTATATGAGAGATGTACATAAATAATTACTTTTAAAAAGTTGGGCTGCACAATTTCAGATGTCTTCTGTGATTGGGTATACTACAATGTTGTAGGCGAGCTTCACAAAATTAAACAGACTAAACTACTAAAGACCTATACAAGCTAGGCCCTTATAGATAAAATCATACTTGAATGATAACAAAAAACGTAATACCAAACTAGACCAGATCACTATCATTTATGCTAGAGCAGAATAAAAAAATCAGCTTAGACAAAGATTAATTTTGAATAGATCAAAATCAGATTAAATGAGACAAACAAAATGAACATTTGTGACGTGCATAAATGTGCACAACTCATATAGTATAGGCACCACATTAGTAAGTTGGAATTGGGAGGTAATAGATGTCAAAATTAATGCATAGGCCCAAAGCTGATAGAAGCTTGATTTATGATTTATGAAGGCCGGAACGGGCATTTCGGTCACAACAAAACAAACGAAGGTACAAAGGAGCATACGGTTCCTCATCTTGTGTGTTAAAAAAACATAAAACTCTTGTAAATATTCAACCCTCCAATCCCTTTTTCTTGAGTACTTTTGTTTTTGAATAAAGTAGCATACTACAATAAACAATGTAGAACATAAACAAAGATCTAGTCAAATACAAGGATAAATAAAAACTACATAAGAAGTGGTTTGACATCATCAAAACTACATTTCATCAAAATCTAGGGGACCTAACATTATCAATAAGGAGAATTTAACTTTAACATTAGTTGACAAAAGTTATTGACTTTGCAAATCCATTTGGGACGAGAGGAGTATAGCCTTTGTAATACACCAACAACATCCAAGTCTTATTCTTAAATTTTTTTGATGTCGACTAACATGAATCATTTTATGATATCAAGAGAAGAAAGATAAGAAAAAGAGACTCATTCTTGTGTCTTCCGTGATTCGGTATACTACAATGTTGTAGGCGAGCTTCACAGAATTAAACAGACCAAACTACTAAAGACCTATACAAACTAGACCCTTATAGATAAAATCATACTTGAACGATAACAAAAAATGTAATACCAAACTAGACCAGATCACTATCATTTATGCTAGAGCAGAATAAAGAAGTCAGTTTAGACAAAGATTAATTTTGAATAGATCAAATCAGATTAGTGATTAAATCAGAAGACAAACAATACGAACATTTGTGACGTGCATAAATGTGCACAACTCATATAGTATAGGCACCACATTAGTAAGTTGGAATTGGGAGGTAATAGATGTCAAAATTAATGCATAGGTGATAGGCCCAAAGCTGATAGAAGCTTGATTTATGATTTATGAAGGCCGGAACGGGCATTTCGGTCCCAACAAAACAAACGAAGGTACAAAGGAGCATACGGTTCTTCATCTTGTGTGTTAAAAAAACATAAACTCTTATAAATATTCAACCCTCCAATCCCTTTCTCCTTCTTTATAGTCTATTCCACCCCACCCCCACCCACCCCTCGATAGCCAGCACTCACCGCCACCTCCCTCTCTCCCTCCTCCCCAAACACAAATGCATTATAATGGGAGTGGAAATAAAAACAAAAGGTGGTAGATGCATGAGTAACAACAACAACTACTACAATCCTTTCTAACACCTCACTCCCTCTCTCCCTGTCTCTGTCTCTCATCTCCCACCGCCGCCTCCGCCACCCGCGGCTGTGCCTTTACCTCGGTTACCACGTCCCCATCAACTCACCCCTCCCCTTGTTCCGGCCAGGTATATATATATCCGGGCAGCCTCTCATTATGGCCCTTCTCTTTCGTTTTTATGATTTGCCCCCCCTCCCATCCCCTTATATGGTCGTGCTGAGTTTCATTCCTCTGGCATTGGCTGCCAGCCTGTAGTGATGATGGCGATAAATGGGTAGTTTGAAAATCGGGTCGTGATGGGTTTTCACTTTTATTGTGTGGATTTCTTTTCTTGGTCTTCTCGGTTTGCTTTCTTGATGGGGTTTTGCGCCTCCACGAAAGGTGGTGGAGTTGACTTGTAATCCAAGGAGGTAGACTTCCTCCAATCTTTGAAAAAGGAGCGATTTTGATGCTTATTTATTGATTTGCGCGCTTGATTCGATTTGCAGTCGACGATGATCTCAGTTTGCCACCTTGCTCGATCTTATAATAATAATAAAATAATAGTTTCTTCAAAGCCTTGGGTATATAGTTCTGATAAACACTTGGGTATGTCACTTCGTTGGATTAGTAATGTGTCCTATTGCTGATTAAAGGGTATTCCATCATTGCCGATTCCTTCCATTTAAGGGTGCAGTCTTCCTGCGGTTTCACCTTTAATGGCTAAAAACATCATCTTTCAATTCCCCACCTTTGCAGTACTCCCGATTTTGACTCCATTCTTATTTTTATTTTTTTGTAGTTGGGTGTTTCTTACTGTTTCTTTGGCTGCTCCTAGGAATACTATGGTGAGCATACGAAGGCGTAGACTCCTCGGGCTTTGCTCTGCTGGTATGACAATTTCAGTTTATGGTGCCAGTGTTTGGTTTGTAAACACATCTTTTTCGGGTTTCCACTATTTTCTCATGAATAAAAAAATGTGTCTGGTGGATCATGGACTTATAACTTGTCTGGTTTTCTTTAAAAAGCTTGGGTTTTTCATATGAAATAATGCAAAATTCACCGAACTGAATTCTTGACAAAGATCATGTTTTTGTAGGTACAAGTTCCTCCGTTGCCCCATTTGCGACGCTCCCTGAGAATGAAAAACCAATAAGTGTCTATCCAATTCCATCGAACAGCTTTGACAAGCCGAAAGAGGTAAGAGTAGATAACTGGATTGCTTTCGGTAGTTCATAGTTCATCGTATGCCTTAAAGATCATAGCTGTATCAATCTTTCTTTACGGTGTACTAGCTGCACTAATACCACTGAACTTCATTTTTGCTTTGTCCAGTCTAACCTTTAACTACATGATCTCTACACTAATGCTGGTCTGGCTTGATCGGTATTGAAAGTCTGGTCTGAAACTGAAATGTGTGTAAGGAACAAGTCCTTACAAGAATAACTTTTAACATCCGAAGGATGTTAGCGGAGTTGAATAGTTTTGTATGGTTTAAAATTAGAAACTTATTCCATATAGTTTTGGTAACAGTATCTATTTAACTGCATTAAGCTGAATAATGAAGGGGAGGTTAGTATGTTAACAGAAATTGCTCAAAATAAGAGTAAAACATATGTAAGGTTCTAAAATAGGACTGGGTATGTATTCTTTCCAAAACAGGACCTATTAATTCCTATTAAAAAATAAGAGAATAAAACCTTCCCTAAATAGAAGTGCATGAGTCCTATTTTGGAAAGAAAACAATGTAACTCCTTTTTCAGATAATTTGCAATGCTTTACTTCTACATAGGAGTTTTCTCTAAGTTTAACAATTAATGTGGCCAAATAGTATGCTGCCAGTCGAGTTTCCGAATTTAATTAGGCTCAGAAAGACTGTCAGCTTGAGCCTAGAAAATAATGTGGGCAATAAAGTTTTCTTTTTCTTTTTCTATGTATATCCAACTTTGGTCCATTCTTTTACCCTCCAGGAAACTACAGCTCCTAAACCATATAGTTTGCCTGCCTCCCCACCTTCAAAAGACCAGGAAGATCAGAAACTGTCAGGTTTGCTATATTTCATTTGTAAAATATTATTTGTTGTATACTAATGATCCTTGATACATGCAATAAACCAGACAACAATGACTTCATTATTCTAAAGGGTCAAAGATATGGCTGGAGGCAGGAAAGAACTTAACCAGAAACATTAAAACCGCTAAAATTCTTAGTAATATTTTTATAAAAATCTGCATAACAAGGTGATTTCCCTAAATATGAGTAAGTACCGTCGCATAATATGGAAGTATAATTCCAGGATCGCAGTACTTTCTCTTAATTGGGGGGAAAACACAGTATTCGTATTTATGTAAACCACCTTGTTTTATTCCTATTTTGGGAAATTTTCCAATTTTTATTGTAGTATTTAATGAATGATGATTATTTTTAGGTTGGAATATACATATAACATGGATTTGGTAATGCAGAAGTTAAGTGCAGAAAGCGACATAGAAGGAAACAGTTTGACAGCCAAGAACCATGTTTGATGAGAGGGGTTTATTTCAAGAACATGAAATGGCAAGCAGCCATTAAAGTTGACAAAAAGCAAATTCACCTCGGTACTGTTGGTTCTCAGGAAGAAGCTGCTAGGCTGTATGACAGGTAGCTATCTCACATATTATTATTATTATTAATTATTATTATTAGAATTACTGTATTATTACTATAACTATTATTTTTATCATTATCATCATCATTTGATAAGAAAGCCAATTTGTACACAAAAGATGCAATCTTTACATTAAAGGTCCATTTGTTTGGAACGATAAAATGTTTACCAAACTGTTTATTCTGCTTATAAGCATAATAAACCATTGATGCTACCAAACTGGGCCTTAGGAACTGCTCAAGTGGACTTATATCAGTGGCAGACCAAAACAGACCAAACATGTAAAGAACAGGCCTAAAGAAAACAACATACTTAGATAATAACAAAATACACATAATCTCAGACCTTACCATGCTAGTCCGGCTTGATCAGATTTAAAAGTCTAGAGCTGGTCCTTAGTTCCACCTGAAAACCCTCTTCGCAAAATAAGGTGATCAATGGCATTAAATAGGCCTAAGTAGCTCAAAAACTACTTATCCTGCTCAGGAGCAGAAAATACCAAACGGATAATAAGTTCTTAGCGTGTGACATAACTGTTCGACTCCACCGTTTATAAGTTATGATGAATGGTAGGGCTGCATTTATGTGTGGAAGGGAACCAAACTTTGAAATCTCAGAGGGAGAGAAAGAGGAACTCAGGAAGTTCAGTTGGGATGAGTTCTTGGCACTCACTCGGTCTGCAATCACCAGCAAAAGTAAAAACTGGTTTCAATTCCATTGATTTGATAAATTATTTTCTAACAACGGGATTAATTATCAAAACTCATTATATTTTTGCAGAAAGCCGTAGAAGAGCTGGTATGGCTGCTGCAAGGAGAAAATCTGAGGCATGGGGACAATACAGTGATGAAGATGGCGAACAGCTACAAGGGAATGAGTTGTCACCCTCAGAAGACATATCTGCTTAGTGATCTTTTTTTTTTTTCTTGATTCTTTTTCTCATACCACAAAATATATACTCGTATATATTAGTGAGTATATATACAATATCCCCTGTTACAGTGTTAAAGGAAAAAATACTGATACTTTTATTTTATTAATACTCAGTTTAATCCCACAGACTTATCATTTTGTTCTTTATTTATTTGAATTGAATTTCTGTATCAAATCTTTCGTACTCATAATACGGAGTAAAGAACAAAACGTTTGGTCTATAAATTATTGTATACACTTCACACATCATTTTTGTATTGTCATATTATGTAACCATTAAAAATGTTTGTGAGCAAATCCAATATTAATATAATCCGTATGTCACAAACAACAACTAATGTATATGGACGCACAAACTAATGTCTAGGAGAAACATTAATTATAATTTATAAATATGAATAGTTTACATGTTTTTCAAAATAATTTTCTTTAGACAAACATGTTTTGTTATAATGATTCTGTGACTCGACTTGGTGCATACAAATTGTATACCCGTAGTATATGCTAAAAACATTTTTTTGCATATAGTGGTCCATGACCAGATATAGTTGGGATTAAAGAAACATGTGATGTGGAATAAATATGATGTAGAATAGATTTATGAGAAAGATATATTAATAATAAGCTCTCAATATCTCTTTTTGAAAGAGAGGGCGTGTTGAAGTATTATTCCTACACAGGATTGGTATGAAAATCAAACACAATATAATATTTTGGATTACTCCTCCTATCGAGTTGATATTTTAATATGAAAACTTAAGTCTTAACATCCACTCATTTATGGAATTATAATCAAAAGTATGATTATCTAACACATTTAGTAAATTTAATATTTTGTAATAAGAACACTTAAGTGACAGATCTCATTATTTTAAAAAAAAAAGTGACAGATCTCATTCAAATGACCACCTCATTTGCAGCATCATAAATATGTAACTGTGCAAATTTAGGTATTTCATTACGCTTTTGCACCAGACTCCCGATCAAATTATAATTTTGTCCATGAAAAATTAGAGAAGACTTACCAATGTTGTACGTAGTAAGTAACACCAATCCTTTCTCTCATTGACGTGAAAGAAAACATAATAAAATATGCTCATGTTTTGTAAAAAATGGGTGTTCCTTTCATCATCACCGTATATTAGATCAAGTAAGGTTTGAAAAAATCTTTTCAATGGTGAAAGCTTTATTTTACCTTGGACACAATAAAAAAAGTTATTCAGATTTTCCGATTTACAGTACGACTTTAACCTTCCATCGTACCAAGAAGCAGTTCCACAATGTTGACGCTGACAAGATGAATGTCTCATATTCGAATATGAAATTTCTAAATATTATCGTATTATTAAGAAAAGCAATCGATGTTTGAAAGATATGCGTTGATGCTAATTCAACATGAATAAAATATCAAAACGTATAAAACTATAAGAACCCTCGATTTTAACGTGAAAACCCGAGAGGTTGAAAACATGAGACTATTCGAACTAACGTCCAAACCACTCTCTTTTATTAATACACCTCACTAAATACATTTTACAAGAACTCTCTCTACTAGAGTATTCAAGCTAGTCCATAGAGAAGAGGGTTGTAGTGGAGAAGAAGAGGCCCCAAATATATATGGAGGGAAACCTCCTATTTATATGGAAGGGGATAAATAGTACCCTAATGAGTTGAATTGACCAAAATGGGTCGAAAGGATCAAAACAGGTCAATTGGGTCGAAATGAGCTTCACTGATTGAGCTTCTTAAGGGGTATGGGACTTCCGGGATAGTAGTAGGTCGGGGTCTAATATCCCAACAAGAATATACTACTTGAGGCGTATACATCTCATTAAAATGAGAAAGTGTCATATGAAATAGTAAGATTAGGAGAAAAGAGAGAGAAGACACTCATTGACTTATGAGTTAGTAGCACCGGTAAGCTTTTGTACTATAGCCGGATTTCTAACATTTCTAAGAGTCGAAGTGTGTGAAGAAGCAGCATTTGGAAGGCGTTTTTTAGTTTATAAATATTTAGCAAATTGAATGTGATTTTTGTATCTATTAATTAAATGACATAAATAATTCCAATCCAAATTACATGAAATTTAAATATTAGTATTGAGAGTGTGTGTAATATACCATTATTAGTAGCAATAGAAAAGTATGTAACACCGTATTGATCCGCATACATCGTCAATTGCTCATATGATAGAAGAGTCTTTAAATATTTTCCAACCTTGCGCACTTTGCTTTGAGATGTTTCAATGCTCTAAATAACATTGAAATTCAATTAGAGAACTTTTTTAATCAAATAAATGATTACTTATGATACAACTTTTTTTTGTAGACACTAGTTAATGTAAAAAGTGATAGTTATACTAAACCCTAAAATTTAAGATAAATAAAACATGGTATATGTAAAATAATAAATTGTGGCTAAAAGTCTAAAACAATTTATAATATTTCTTTAAAAATTTCAATACTTATTTATGTGAGTGAGTTTTACACATAGGTTAGGTTTTAGATTAATGTATGAGATTTAAAACATATTGGTTTTAAATTTTTATTGCTAACTTTAGCAGTTTCCAACTTAAAGCTATTAAGAATCTGTTTTAACAACTAATAATTTCAACTTATCAGTCATATTGATCATTTTTATTTATCAAATACTCTATATATTTTTTTTGATTTTGCACGTAATAAAAATTTATATACTCTGGCTTATACGTAATATAATAATAAACACAAGTGAGTTTAAATTACTTTTGTCATTGAATTGGCTGAATTTAGGTATTATTGTACCTATTTTCTATCAAAAAATATTTTAAATATAATATTTGCGTAGATCAGCAAATTAGTGAAGTCCACTGATTCAATTAGAGTTCCAGCAGCTTCAATATATTCAACCTATTTAACTGATTTTAATTTTTTAATGTTACCAAAAAAAAATGTTACCAAATTAGTAATAAAATTATTGGCCCAAAGTGTGATCCGATCCAATTAGAAAATCACATGCCCAAGATCTAGAATAACCTAACCGTACATCCGCTTGTATTTCCATCTCCTCTATACGAAGGAACCAGTCTAACTTGTCTCTCCCCTATACGAAGCCTTTCCTTTTCAGATTCGTAAGAGTTAGGGCAGAAAATGATCATTCCAGTACGTTGCTTCACATGTGGGAAGGTAATCCGGACCGTTCTCATCCAGGGATTGCATATTTTCTTCCTCTTCTTCTTCTCTCCTTTATGATTTTAGTTGTGCTAATCTCGTACCAGAAAAATATCCTACTTTTGCTTAGCGCTAATTTTCTGCAGTAAATTATTTGCAGGTCATTGGAAACAAATGGGATATCTACTTGGATCTTCTGCAAGCTGATTACACCGAAGGGTAAGCCGCATATTCTTTGAAACGGACATAGGTTAATGCATATATTGTTATTGTGCATTTAGTACTTTTCTCTAAAGCTGCAATTGATAATTTTTTTGCATATTTTATAAATATTAAAAATTAGGCAACTTAGTTTTGGTGAGAACATTAAAATTGTATCCATAGAATGATAAAAGAATATGATTTTCTTGTGGTGTTTAAATTTTTTGACTGAACCAAGTGTATGAGATGTTAGCACATGAGTTCTCTTTCCTGGTTAATCCCATTATCAGCTGTTTTCTCATTGTTTATACTTATTAAACTGTAGGATTGTTGAGTTTGTTAAAATTAGTGTCTGGCACTTGTAATATTAGTTATAGCCTATTAGCCTTCATCACTCTGCGTACCCCATGAGAAAAAATACAACCAGTTACGTCGTTATAAATTAGTCTTGAGCGGGATTTGAAGCTATAAAATTTATAAATAGTAATATGCATTTTTCATCTGCAGGGATGCTCTTGATGCATTGCAGTTGGTCCGGTATTGCTGTCGAAGAATGCTGATGACACATGTTGATCTCATTGAGAAACTTCTTAACTACAACAGTAATGCTTCATTCTTAACTTTGCTCACACCATGTGCACACATGCAGACACTTATATTCTCAATTACCAGAATTACATAAAAAAGTCTTTCTGAGATTGAAAGTGAATTAATGTTATAGTAACATAGCATGCAAGCCTAGGACCTAGGCATTAGCATTTGGTCCCCAATATATCTCCATGAATCATCTTGTGATGGGATTGAATTTTAGTACAAACAGAAAGTTTAATTAAGTAAAGAATCAGAAAACATGGAAGAGAAGAAATTGGGCTTTGGCTAACTGGCTAAATTAACTTCTGAGAGTGATCACTTTGTACATTTAATCTAAAGATCATCCAATATTTAGTGTCATGACTGTCATCAATAGCAAATATTTATACTGAATACATAGATAGCACCTGTAGCCTGTACTCTTTATAAACTGACTGGATGAAATAAAATTGAAGCCAAACATAGGCACATATTACTCACAAGTGCATCGTTTCCATTAGTAGAAATATATGGATATATCTAACCAATCCATAACCAATATCCTTTGTGTTTCAAGAACAAATCCTAATAGTGAAGTTGTGACTTGTGGTAACACTTTATAAGACACTCGTTCACCAATAGTCCACTACACACTTCTATGGCTGAGCCTTGCACTCTAACTAGAACTAATCTGCTATAAATCTATAATTAAGACACTGATTTCGAAATTAGGAACAAATATGTAGACTATTTCATCCTCTTGACGTTGTTAGTGGTTAGATTTCTATTGTTTTTGTGTTCGTATCCGAACTCTGGTTTTTATGTCTTCTGAAGAACCAGAAGATCTGGGTAAAGAACTAGGACGAAGACTTATATATTTGGAGTTTCGACTTGAATGTAGAAATGAAAGTATTAAAGCACATTGTCCCTCAATAATTCTCCATGCTGTATTGATTTGTATGCCTGATTAGAGTTTGTGAGATCGTCAGTAGTTAGGATTTTTAGAGTAAATGCAACTGTTCCATTTTGGGGTTAACATTTCGGATTATGAAGTTGTATACTTAGGATAAAGTTAATTCCCTGCTCCATAATATTGTAAATAACAATGTAAACCTGACTTCTATGAAATGATTAATAAGAAGAGCTTTCTAATGTACAAACATAATTTTATAACAACAATAGACAATATATAGTTGATGGATTTTAAGTGCACAAACGGAGAATAATTATTCTCATTTTTTGCATCTTTTCTTTTTCAAAATTGATGTCTGAACAAGAATCTCGGGACTTTGGCCTGACTGGACATTTATCCCAGTATAAA